GGGGCAAAAACAAAAGTTTTGAGTTTATAATTTTGTTCAGTATATTTGTTTTTATTCATTGCCAACAACTGCTTCACTGTTATTGTTGTGTACATGACAATAAAGAATTTGAACTTAATAATTCTGCATTTGGACCTCCAGAATTTGGAACAAATACTTCATACATATCACACATATGTATTGTTGCTTATCTCATTTTCAGGGGTTTAGCTACACGTAGTGAACATTACTTAGGAAATCACATTAAACTTTTGAGCTTTTGGAGAACTTCCATGATTATTTGAGTTTTTGTTATTTACTGCATGTATAACTTTTAGTTACTAACGGATGTTGAAAGCTGGCCTAGATAAACACAATAAGGAAAGATTGGATACAATAAGCATTTTTGTTACTGGATTCAGATCCAAATCTGTCAAACACTACCAAGTCAGTGTACTGTGGCTACTTATTGGTTCTGACACCTTTTTTTAGTCAAAGCAAGTGGTTTTAGTTCAGATGTTTTTGTTGCTCTTGCAAGACTCGGCCCTTTAAACGCTACAGCGAGCCAGTTACTGTACCAAAGAAGTGACAGGTCCCCCTCTCACTGCCCCTAATATTTTCCTAGACAAGAATTAAAAGGCCATTCATCACAGTCATTCTCCCATACTGTGTTTCTCTAGCAGAGAGGCATACATGAAAGTCTTAAACCAACTTTGAATGAGTGAGTGTGTGTGCGTGTGTGTATACAGTGGGTCTGTGAGTTTAAAGAGTGGGGGCCTGTCTGGGAATGGGTCTCATGGGAACAAAGGGTGCAGTGTTTGACCCTGTCCTGGGACAGTGTGAACAGGCCTCCCGTGCCTCAGAGGTGTGTGTGATCTGACCTTCACAACCTCCAACCCCACCCTATGCTCTCTCTTCACAGGACGTCCCGACGGCTGCCCATGCAGATCGATGGCGAGCCCTGGATGCAGCCCCCCTGCACGGTGAGAATTCAATCAGTGGCACTGCCTCCATGTTGAAAAATTCTTCTCATGGACCCTACAACATTTTGTATTGTATAACCAAGTGCATAGAAAGTACATTACAGTGATATACTGCAGAGAGAGCAGTTGCCTAAATGTAACACTTTAATGCTTGTTTTCACTGGTAAGATTGAAATAATAATTCACATTCACAGACTGGATTAAACACTATTATAAGAAAATTCTTATGTTGCTTCAGGTAATATGATGAATTACAATCAAGGATGCACAGTTTAAGTAACAGATATATGACTAGGAAGCCTTATCCAATTCAACTCTTTGACAAATGACACTGTGTTTTTTGCCAGAGCCCTCTAAGTTGACCATTGCAGCTAATGTTGGAGCCTCATTGTAGTGAAAGGGGTTGTGTGATCCTGAAACCCTGGGAGCAGGGTTGTCTGAAGCAGCCCTGGCGGGTTGTCCCAAAGCAGATAGGTCTCAGGTCAAGGCCCAGACTAAGGCCAAAAACTGTTTAATTAAAAATGGACGTATTCTTCAGGATATCACCCATAGGTTTGAGAAGAGCCTTTGTGAAGCTCAATGTGGTCGGCTCTGGTCGTCGCCATCTTGGCAGACCTGACTGCTGGCTTGTGGCTAATCCAAAAATGGGCAAAGGTTCGGAGCATGAGTGGAGCTGATGTGTGCTGAATGAAGCCTGGTCACTGGTAATTTAATATGGGCCCTTATGGAGATAGACTCACTGCTGGAGCCAGCCTCAAAACTGCAGTTTTTGGCACTTCCTTGATGGCTTCATTCGCCAGCCATGGAGGTTGCCGCTTGGTATAAAATTTAACTTGGCTCAACTTTTGCTACAACACAGCACATTGTCATCTGGCAAGGCACTGTTTTTAGCCAGTCAAAAACTTTGATTGGTTATAGAACATTCCCGTGCGAACACTGGATTTCTAGTGTATCTTCGGCAAGTATTGGCCTTGTTCAGCCCAAAAAATTAACAAAGGGCCAGCATAATATGGGTTCACCTGCAGACTTAGGGGTCGGATGCATTCCTAGTGAGGTGGCAGGTCAAGGCACAGACAGACGCTGACTGCAAAAACTGCCTCTTGGGACGTGTAACATCCCTGCGGTGGTACCTTCTGGGTATAGCCAGTCTCACCTGTAAGTACCACACTAGGTTTAGGGTCTTTTTAAGCATCCCCTGGATGCCAGTGGACTCACTTATCCTTGACAGCTGATAAAGTCTGCCGTGTGCCAGACCAAGATGAGTGTTACTCAGCTTTTGTCTTGTCTAGGCTCATTTCCCTGCTTTAGTTTATCCTCCTCCTCTGCACACCTCTGGCCTTCACCTCCAACACTGTCATGCCATCAAATATCAAGCTGGCAATATTCTTTATAGTCAACTATTATCAATTCATCCTTTTTCAAACCTTTTTTTAATTCTGTCACAGTGGACCTTCGTGGAGGCGGAGGATAAAGGGCTTTTTGTTGTGTTGTGTGAGTTATTTGCAAGGTCACAGCGCGTGGTCTTATAACAGTTAGTTATAAAGTGCCAGGAAGTGATGACTGTGTCAACCTGGTAGATTTGTCAAAAAAATATTCAGAACAGAAAACTGCACAAATTGAACACCTTCATTGTGTCCTTCTCTATCTAATTCTTACAGATCAGGATCACACACAAGAACCAGGTCCCCATTTTGCTGGGCCCGCCTCAGAAGACACCCTTCTTTTTCTTCAAGAAACGCAACCGGAGCCGCGACTAGGACACACGCATGCACACACGCATGCACACACAAACACAAAAATACACATACATATAGTACATATATGCACATACACACACACACACACACACACACCGCCCACTGTACAGGCAGCTCCATCAGATGACTGCACAGGTTGGAGTTGAAGAAAGTGGGAAGTTCATCAGCAAGATCACATTAACAAGTGGAACATTCCTTAAGTCAGGACGCCCACAGACAATTCACCCCACAGGAACCTGCGGCAACGGCACTTGAAATGAAAAGACTCTCAGTATACAGTACCGACCTACTCCTGTGTAACCATCATCCTCTAGTCTTGTCTCCAAACCTCAGTCCCAGCCTTGGGTTTAGTCTCAGCCACCTGCAACAGCCAAGTCTCTCAGTCCAAGCCGCCTCCTGCCCCCCAAAAAACCCCAGCCATAATGCCAGTACTGCACTGCCTGCTCAACACAACTTTGGCCGCTGGGATTCCCTCGAATCCCTCCCTTCAATGAAGTAAAGGAAGTGATAGTGAGGGGATGGAGGGTTACATTGAGGAAGAAGGAGCTCTGACACACTAAAGTGAGAAAGAGGAGAAGGTTAAAGTGAGAGTGGCGTGGCAGTATTTGTGGTTGTTTACAAGGGCGGTGAGTAAATAGAGTGAGATCCACCTCTTAAAAACACCTGTATGAATAATGAAACAGCGGTTGCTTGTAAGAGCGCTCGCTGCAGGGCCTCCCCACAGACTGAGAGTGCGGTACAGCCAAGGAGAGGAGTGGAAAAGCCTCATCCATTATTGACTTATTTTGTTTGTAGGTTGATGGCGGTGGGGCGTAACAGTGGCATGGCATGGGTGGAAGCATGCAGGGATTCTGGCCTCTTAGCATCACTGGCCTAGAAAAAAAGATCCTTGTAACCATATTTCTAGACTGCGTAGATGATCTGGCTGTCAGGCAGAGGAAGTGCTTATCTAGTTGTGCACGGCTACCTCGATATAAATTGACCCGAATCTAGATTTAAAGTAGAGATTGGGACATTGTAGTTAATCTTTGCCTACTGAAGAAACGCGTTTGTCCTCCTTGGTTGGTGAGCTCTAAAACTACCATCCAAATCGAATCCTCTGTGCCATGTGCCGTAGGACACTTCTTGTGGGTCACAGATTGAAATAAATCCCCTCAAGGGTATAACTGCAAGGCCCCCAGGGTTTTTATTTACCAGAGCATTGACAGGGGAACTAAATTTATCCCTCTATTTCAGGGAGGCTCTTTCTCTCCTCCAGTGAAACCCTACGCCTAATTACCGTGTCAAACATCAACTTGCAATGTCAAGTTCGCGTCAGAGTGCAAATCCCAAAGCCTGCCCCTATACTGCAAGGTGCTGGGTGGCTTCAATGCATTCATGATTTGTTTAACTACGCCAAATAAAGATGTGATGGTAATGGAGGAAAGAGACTAAATGGGATGAGTTGTGTTTTCGCCAGAGATGGTGGAAGATTGATGTATCGTTCAGAGACCAGGGAGCTTAGTTCAGTGTTTATAAGAATGTATCCATATTACTGTCCCCGCAATATGGCAAATTATATTATACAGAATGTGCAGAAAGAGTATATGTATATTTCTGGAAAGTAGGTGTAGAGCTCACTTATACTGTACACACGAATGTGTTTTTAATATATCATTGTTATTAATGTGGAAATATTAGCTTAGAGGGGTTCAGATCAGTATTCTTCACTGTACAGAGCTGCTACACCCGCTCTCTGAAGGCAGTTTTCCACTTTTTCTAATTCACACTATTTTAGACTTGAATTGTATCACCCTTTCAACTTGGCTTGCTCGCAGAAGAAACGAACAACAAATGCTTCAAAATTACAGAATGTGTCACAAAAGAATGTCATGGTTCACATACTAGCTTTGTCAGAGCTCTATAAGTGGTCTTCATCAGCGAAAGGAGTTCTCTAAAGCTCTTGAATATCGGTTGAAAGTAGACCTAAACCAATAATAAATCAGAAGAAGATCAAAACAAAGACTCTACAGCCATGCTAGCGGCTCTGTCAAGTATGTGGGTTGGGCTTAATGCTAATATTAGTATCATGCTCACAGTGAGAATGTTAACATATTTATGCTAAGCAGGTCATGCTTATCATGTTTTCCATCTTAGCGTGTTAGCATGCTAATGTTAAACACAAAGTGCAGCTGAGGCTGATGGGAATGTCATTAGTTTTTAAGTATTTGTATCAAGGTATTGGACACACCAAAATTGCCATCCCTAGAGCCCTGTGCAGCTGAAAATGTTGGTCAACCAGATTAATTTTTCAACTGTAAAATGTCCCACTCACAAAAAAAGAATCAACTGATCTATCATATTATAACTCTCAAACATCAATAAAGGTAACATCCAAAAAATCTTCTATAGGTGCTGGATCAAAGAGAAAACTAAAGGCATGAATGAGACAAAAGATCTGCACACTGTACTAATAGCTCCCAGCAATTTCATTAGAGCAACGCTTGGATCAACAGATCAACAATGCCTGACAAAGATCTTTGTTTACTTAAAAAGGTACATGGACACTGAGATTATTTTGTTACACAGACACTTACTCCTATGGTCAAGAATTTGTTCAAGAAAGACAAAATCTGATCTCAACCCGAGCCTACTGATGGACACTGCTATCTTCGAAATGTAAAACTTAAAGAGAATGTAAATGTCTGAATGTTGAAACCCAAAGAGTTGATGTGAGTTAAACGTTTGTGGAAAACTGCCTTCCTCCCTGCTGGAAATGTAAGCGTTATCGGTGCAGGGCAGAGGGAGACTGGTGAGGTGTTCTGATGGTACAAACTGAGCTCCACTGTAGGGTCGGGCTTTGATGCCTTAAGACCCCAGTTCCCTTTAAAAAATACACTGAGTCCTTACTCTCGCCCCCCAGGCCCCATGAAAACAGACAGTCCAGTATATCCTCATACACTGCAGACATTTACTGTACCCAGATGTGTTTTTGGGTCCCTCCAAACAAGGTTTCTCATGTGTCACTTTAATCCATCTCAGTGTTTAAATATACACAAATTCAAAGCCATTTAACACACCTGACAGAACCTTAATACTACAGCCACACTGTGGAAATGTCGCAAGATAAAAAAAAAATAACACATCATAATCTTTCTCTCCGTCATTTGTAGTTGCTGCCAATGGAGCCTGGGCGCCAAGAGAACTCAGTGGGAAAAGAGTGCATGTTTACAGTTACTTTAAATTTATTGAAAGAATGGTTTAAGACAGCTATATTACCAAGTGTATATATTTGTTTATAATATTTTATCTGAAGTTAACTTACATCACCGCATGCCTGCTGAAACAAATGGGGAGTGAACAAAAAGGAGAGTGTGCATCAGACCATTCAAACCTATTTCTTTGCTTAAAAATACCAATTATCTGATATATTTATTTGTCGTGATTTTCATTATTTTCTTTGTCAGCATGTTTTATGTGCAAGAGAAGGCGGGGAAGAAGCTATCTTGTCACATTAAAGAGAAAAAAAGTAGAATTCCCAGATGAAGTTTCTACCGTTACAACATCCATTCGTGATTCGTCAAAGGGCAGCAACATGAAGGCCCACGCAGAGCCTTGTCTGTGAGAATTTCCAATGTGTGTCACAAGTCATGTCTATTCCTGTCCTTTGTAGTAATCATATGCCTTAACAGATAAATGGACCCGCTCTGTGCTCACAGCTTGCTTTGTACAGGGCTCACACAGAAGAAAGAAATCATCAGATGGCATAGAAACGGTGATTAACGTAGCTACATTTAACCTAAAAAGGACTTGCTTTAACCCCGATTAGGAACAGCTGACCCTCAGTATTTAGACAAACAAAGCTCAGACGATTTCATCAGTATTTGGCAACCCCACACTTTTGTGTCATTCTAACCTTCAGTTAGCAGCAGAGGTGTGCTACCATCATGGTAATGGACTGATGTAATTTGCTGCCACTGAACAGACCCTTTATTAGCAAACAAAAGAGGTAATATCTGTGTCCATCCTTATCTGCAGGTCGACTTTCCTGAAGTAAGTTTTCTTTAAAAAGAAGGCAGCAAATCCCATCAAATCCCATCAAAAAAGACCAAAACCAACAATGTGTTACTCCATCTCTCAATGCTTTTTTTGAATGTGCAACTACCCTGTCTCCTGCCACTCATTTGTTGCCCATTTGTTCTTAATTAATACTTAAAACACACACAGACATATATTTATATATATATACAGTATAAATATATACTATGGCACTGTAGTTTTTAGCTAATGACAGAAGGATATTATACATTTGTTGGGGATTTTTTTTTTTTTTCAGCTATTGAGTATATCTCGAAGCAGGATGATGTACTGTATGTAGGACTGACTCCAAAACTACAGCGCTCATGTTCGCCGTTATGATGGAAGATGTCACCCAGTGCAACATTGTGGTTTAACAATGTTGTTTTAATAGTTGTTGTTCAAAAAGTACATTTGTGTCTCAGAGAACGAATCTGTACAAGGCTTTAGCTATACAGCCATTACTAAGATAAGATAAGATAAATAAATGGTTGGCTTTGGTCTTTTCATGGGATTTTTCACAATATGAAACATATCACATCACCAGCCTTATCCTTTATTCTGTTTTGCTACTATGTAGACCTTTAATAACTGGTTGTCAAGCATTCAGAATGCAAAATGTAGTTCACTGGGTTCAGTAAAATGATAAGATAAATCAAGCTGTGATGTTTATTCCAGAAGCTATTGTGTGATAATTTTTTTTATTCCTTGAACTAGCCTGGTTTACTTATTCTTCAGTTTGAGACTTTTTTGTATTCTAAGAATGAGGTTTGACCACTCTCAGTAAAGGGACAACAAGCTTGTCACATTCAGCCGGCTGTAGTTACTAAACATGTTTCCAATTGTAAACCTCTTCTACAAGACTGCTCAAGCTACTGTTGGTGGAAAGGTTGGTAACTCTGGCTCTTTGGTTTCTCCTTGTGTGATTTTTAAAATCACAAAATAATGAGTGAAGAGAGATGTCCTCGGACCCCGATTGTGAGGAGCTGTCACAAAAACCTGCCTGACCTTGATGGTTTTCTGTTAAATGACTCTAATTGTAGTCACACTGGAAATATCTGTATGGAATATAATGACAGGTTTCAGTCATATTATTCATAATATCAAATTAAATATATTACCAAAAAGGAAAAATGAACTAGAAATGCAATATATGACATGTATAGACATATGATAAGCTGCCTTTTTTAAAATTTAACGTATTTCTGGTGGAATTTTTGGAGAACTTTAAATTGTGGAGAAGTTTGAGATTTGGGAAACTTGTAATCCTGATTTGTAATTCCTCCGGAAACTCTCATGAATTTCTGACAACGACTATATCTTGCACTTTGTGAAAAGAAGTACAGTACAGAAGTGTAAACCATCTACAAAATCGTCAAAAAAACCCTCATCACTGGCAATTACATCGAAATGAAATCCAATATTAACGATAATTCTATTAGCTTAAATGGAGCTAAAAATGGTTTGTTTGTTTTCACTATTTAGCAAACAGCAATGAGTATCTAACACAACAAAAGAAGCTAATTTAGGATATTGGTGTGGTAAGGTTAGCAGTCGGAGTAACCATCTTTGAATAATACATGAAAACTATCAAATAAACTCTTTACTGATTACTAGAGGTTTTCCTGTTTGCCAAGAGTCTCATACTTAACAGATGATACAGATGTGAAAGTGTTGTCTTAATTAAAAGTTTCCGACTTGTAATTACTTCACGTCAACACCCAAGTTGTAGTATGACTGGGAAAGCTTTGACATATTTGAATTGGTACTTAGAAACATTTAGGAGGATCTAGTGGCAGAAATGGAATATAATATCCATAGGAATGTTGTCATTAGTGTATAATCACCTGAATATAGGAATTGTTGTGTTTTCGTTACCTTCGAATGAGCTGTTTTTATCTACAGATACAGTACAGAGTCCGCAATGTTGATGACCGTGTTTCTACAGTAGCCTAGAACAGAGAAACCAAACACTGGCTCTAAACAGGGCATTTCATGTTTTTCGTGAGTTTCGCAGCCACCATAGTCCTATGCGCTTGGAGGGCTGAGTGGTATTCAGTTGGTTGCGATCTGCAACTTCACCATTAAATGCCACTAAATCCTACACACTTGTCCTTTAATAATACAAAAGAGCCTGAAAAGGAAACCATCAAGGATATCATCCAAAGATGTTGTTCAACATAATTAAACTCAAATGTGATGGGCATTATGTCATAGTGTCAATTTATAGTATTTTTTGGCCTCACAGGACCAACTTTGCTGTCATACAACAATGACATGAATGCTTATATGTCGTAAATATATAATTCTTTCCTATCTCTACCATCCATACCTCATCAAATGAAAGCAGCACAGAAAGAAAGTGAAGTAGTATTTCCAAAAGTGTTAAACTGGCATTTTAAGTGCTACATGTTACATAATATTTAATATCTGTGTGGTTTATTACTACCGCCACACAACTCCATGCTCTTAATTAGCAGCACTTTCATTAATCAACAGAATCACAGACATTCGTTTCCATCTGCTTGCCCCATGTGGAACTATCTCAGGCCCCTTCCCCCGCCTTTAGCTTGGTCTGCCCCCCCTCTCCGAGGCAGAGGTGACTCTATACAGTCCTGACTGGTGCGATCCAGTTCTCATCCTGGGACAGATTAGCAGTATTGAGTGACATCAGAGGCACAGATAGAGCAGAGCCTCGGCAGCATGTTGCTCTTCGTGTACACTGAAGCGTCAAATCTTAGAGATAGAGTTTACAGAGGGGATCACAGTTCAGATACTACATATCACAATATCGAAGTAATCACACAGCTTCAGGTGAATGTTCCAGGGTAGGGAAAAGCTACTGTATGTAACCAAGAGTACAGTTAATGAAATGATCTGATTTATAAATTCGATGTCTGTGATACCCCCCCCCCAGGGTCAGTATGGTGGGGACTCTCAGCAGGGTCAAGGGCAGATCGTCCCCTGTGTTGTCCAGGACCTGATTGGATGAAAGAGGTTGAAAAATCAATATGTCCAGCCTCTGCAGTCTGCCCCATGTCTGTCTCTACAATATGTCACCCTCACTGTTTGTTAGCTGTTGGCATTTTGATGGACTAAACATTTTACCAAATAAACAGAGGTTGAATATGCATTTGTCCCTTTTTTTTTCTTAATTCACTTAATGGCCACAGATTCTAGCAGTGTTGGCACTCTGGGGTTTCTGCTTACAGATGGTTGGATTTGGATTGGACCATTGCATATATTTACTCACTTGTGATCTGATCAGAGTGTGTTAGATACTGTCTGTTAGTGCCACCTGATAAAGACAGAAACCTGCATTTTTTTAAAATCTTTGTGGATGATCTGAAGACAAATATATCCATCAACAACTGTGAGTCACTGATGGTATTAAACAGATTCAGATGGAGAGGAAATCGGTGATGGGAATGACTGAGTGAACAAACAATGAGACAGTGGTTTGAGGAAGGCCACGTTTCCCTACTGGCCAACACAACAGAACCATCTACAGTAATCATGTTAGGTAATACAATCCTACACAACAGAAGTTGAGACAACCCTTTTCTGATGCAGTGGTGTCAAAATCTAACATTTTAAACTTTACAAAGGTCAGTGGTGGAAGAAGTATTCAGATACTTCACTTAACTAAAAACAGCAAAAGTGCAATGTAAACTTTGTCAAAGTTCTCTATTTAAAATGTCACTTATATTACTATTATATAAGTGATATCAGTAGCTAAATGTACTAAGTATCAAAAGTAGAAATAGCCTTAATTCAGAAAAATACTGTGATTGTCTGTGACTGTTTTAGTATTATATCTTATATTACTGGATTAAAGTAGCATTTTGCCGTTGTATTTGGTTGAAGTGGAGCTAATTTAAACAATTTAATTGACTACTGAGAGGTTTAATATAACCATGCATCATATTTAAATAACTTAGAACTTTTGAGTGTGCTATGTGGAAACAATGCATTAGCCCCACTAGCTGATGCTGCATACCGCTAGTGCTTTGAGCCAATGTCTGTAGCTAGCTAACATAATATACGCCTATGAATAATAGAGTCTCTATTTTTTATAAGAAATGTACGCCACTACACACTATTTTAAAGTAGGCTACTGTGTGCAACAATTTTCCCATAAGCCTTAAACCACTGACAGTATAAACGCACTGTCCTTGATTTCCTTGTTTTTATTTAAAGAGCTTTTAAGATTTAGTAGAGAATATGAAACAAAACTTACTCATAGTGCATGTAAAGTAATAATTTCAAACTAAATAATCTCTGTGAAGTGTGGTGTCATTTTTAGCCATGCTAGCATCACAGCTACACTGTAAAACCAGATAAGTTCATTTAACTCAAAAAATAGTTGAAAGTGATTACATCGAAAATTTTAAGTAACACAAACTCAGTTTTGTAAGTTTAAAAAGATACTTGATTAAGCAGTTATTTTAAGTGACATTAACATAGTTTTGTAAGTTCAAGAAATATTCCTGATTAAGTAGCATTTTGTTTTTAAATTAAGTCATTGTCCATTAAAATGACTAAAGCTACTTGATCAAGGATTTTAGTTTTACTTAAAATTTTCAGTGTAATCCTCTTCAACACGTTTCTGAGTTAAATTAACTTCAAAACATTAGAATTGTTATTGTTTTGGCATGTTGACATTAGTATTTAGCTCCAAGCACTGCTGTGCCTATTACAGCCTCACAGAGCTGGTAGCATGGATGTAGACGCTAGTCCTGTTAAAAGAAAACAATTACTGAAAACACTAAAAAGCGAATCACAATAGAACAAAGGGAGGGTTTTGTAGTCATTTTCTACAGTGTTTAATATTCCTTTCACCATGTGGCCCTGATCTGTGGCCCAGTCGCTTCCTACAGAGCTAGCAAAAGCAGAGCCAGGGAGAGTGAACGACAGAAAATCAAGAAGAAAGAGAAAATGTCAAAGAAAAAGGAGGCATTGAATTAAGAATGGGAGTGAGACAAGAGAGAGATAATAAAAGAATGGTTATACAACTCGGAGCCTCAGAAGAGTCTGCCTTTGGCGAGGCTTCTTGAGTATGGCTGCTAAGATAACAAGGCAGGAATTATCTCCCAGAGTGCTATTAATAGCAGGCAAGTCACATCTTGTCCCTCAGTGAGAGAGCATCCTGCGCCCAGAGGCTCTACTTTCCAGTTTTAACTCTTTTTGAAATGTGCATTTTGACAGACATTTGCATGCCGGGACAGACTGCTGAGACTCTCAATTATAACGCTCTCACGCATAAAAATCATTTATAAAGCCTTTTGTGTATCAAGAGGGAATTGCACAAAAGGTGATAAATTGCCTCAAGTGATGTCACTTGGGTCATCATCAGGTGGGTGTGTTACAAAACTGAAAATGAAAATAATCTGGAGTAGTTAGAAAAAAGGTGAGCTTATCAGACCTCTGTAGCCTGCGCCTCATCTCTGCTCGAGGCTCTCCTACCCGCACAACACGCCTGAGTCTCCAACCAAACTGTTGGTGGTTCGAGTTGCATCGTGGGTAATGCAGGCACCAAGTTTTGACAAGGAAGAAGAATGTGGGGAATTAAAAAGGCAATATGTCCAGTTGTGCTGTAGGGATTTTTAACTGTCCTTGAGTCTGACAATGTTATAGGAAGGAAATGCTAATGCTAAATGCTAATTTGCACATCTACAACTCAACTGGGTGAGCTCTATTAGCTGATGACAATTACTAAATGGACCTTTCTCCTCTTCAATTTCCTTGGGAAGAGGAGGACTTTCAACCTCAAACCGGTGGCAGATTGTCTGTTCAGCAGAGTAAATCTACATGAAGGATCATGGTTCAGAGATTCCAGGCGTAGTGTTTTGTGGCACTATCACCTGGCTTAGTAAAGGATTCTTAGTATCAGGATTAGCCCACATTGCACCAAGGCAGCACTGCTGACCTGGCCGTTATGTCAGTGTCACACTAACCTACAGTAGCAGTCTTCGTGGGAGCAGGAAATTGGCGTTAAGACCTCACCCTGCCTTCACAACGCCCACTCGCAGTCATTCAGAGAGAGAGAGGTATGTACACAAGCAGCATGTCACCCTTTGCATATGGCACATTTATTTAAGGAAAGAGTAAGAACAGCAACACAATGTGCTCACTCTCCACACGCCTCCAAGTGACCACCCACCACATCCGCACCAACGAAGAGGTGCACCATACAGTGGACCTGCAGGCTGTTGCTTTTCAGATATGCTATTTAATGCTTCACACACACGTACAATTCAATTTGACGGTGGATATTTTTAAGCCCTCTCACCTCCACATTTTTCAGTGCTACAGCTCCAAGTGGAGCCCGTGTCCTGAAAGACAAGCGGTTTGCCTTTGGCCTTAGACCTCTGGGATGACCAACGCCGTATCCTATCTGACAACTACATGTGTGTTTATCAGTTCTTACTATTATTGCCACTGCAGCAGGCTCATAATCTCTGCATAGTGGCCGCGGGGATTTACAGGGGATTATAGTTTTTTTATACCAGCTGCTGGATTTTGTTTTAAACTCAGAGTGACGTTTGCATCGACACAGTTTATACAAGGGATTCCTAATTTGGTGACTGAGGTGATAATGACAAAGGTTATTTATTTATGACCTCTAACCTCTGGGTTTCAACAGCTGTTCCCTCACACACATATCTGTGAGCAAACACTCACACACAAGTCATGATATCTTATTTTCTCTTAGGAAGGCTTTAGGTTTGTAGTTTTAAAACAGTGCTAGGTATCGAATGACACAAATAGTAAAAATAGTGATTTAGTTCTGTCAGAAGATCTGTTTGAACTTCCAACACTGTTCTTACAGTCCAAAGCTGTTCTAATGTTTAGAATTTGAAATTTAAAGTGGACTAATGAAAACTAATCATAAAACATCATCTACAGATGTAACAGCTGATTTAATATTAAATATATAATTTAGGATTTGTATATTAAAAGAATAAATAAACAAACAAATGTAAACATTTAACAAGGCCAGTAATGCTTATATAATTAAATAATTGGACAAATATATTTTAGATGCAACATTCATGATCTGAGGTATTTAACCTTTGTAATGTAATTTCTATCGTCTTAAAATGTACTTAAAGTACATTTTCTTCTTTTTAATCCATATTAATAATGTCACTTGCATACTTCTCCTGAAACACAATTCTGTTACATTACTAAGCTGTTAAACAAGATTATAATGTTCAGTGAAGTATAGTGTGTCAAAGTCATCAACACATTGTTCTTTCAGTGTAATAGTCTATCATTAGAGCTTAACACTGGCGTTGTAGCCTCTGTGTAGGTTTCTGTATATTTCCACTGCCTGCAGCTGGCCCTTTAACAAACACATCTTGGCATCGACGCTTGAAAAAAATGTGAATGAAATCCAGCCATTCATAAAAATAGGGCCAGTGCCGCGCCGTGATTGGCCAAACCGAGACTCGTGTATAATTCAGTAGCTCCGGAGAAGCCATTGGCTGCTTACTGTACGGACAGGCTCGATCAACCAATCGGCGTGTGTCTCTGCGTGCCGCTCGAGCCCAGGGGAAAACCGACCGGGCCATTAACGAAAAGCTCAGTCAAGTTTTGTGAGTCGAAGGAGGCACACCAGTTTGTCCGTGCGCAGACGACTACACGACTACCGACACGTTGTTTTTTTTATTAGTGGATATTTCTACCGCATTCTTTCGGTATAGAGGAGCTATATACGCAGACAAGGTAAGCTGCACACTTTTTTTTCGGTGAGAAGTTGCTTTTACGAAGCCCCAGTATGGAGAGATATTTGTCTAACGCTCTTTTACATTACAAACAAACGAAACGCCATCTTATTTAAAGAAATTTACTTTGGCAACCATTTTAAATCGGCTCATATCTTCGTGAAATAGACGCCGTGTGTCGTATTTAATCCCGGTGCGTGTTGTACTCGGTCCTTGGCTTATCTGCGTGGATACTGGCTTCGGCTTATCAACGCGGTCGGCCGACTGTTTGTGATTTTTATGAATGGACGGGCCATTTTTTTTTTCCTCCCCCTGTGTTTCCACACGGATCGAGTTTCACTTCATTGAGAAAAACAAGGGAGGGATAGGTGGGGGGAAGGGCGGGGAGGAGGAGGAGTGGAGTGGAGTGGAGTGGAGGGGAGGGGAGGGGAGTCGGCAGGCAGGGGGTGTCGGGTGATGATCGTCCCCCAGCGGCGGGCCCCCATCCCCGGCCGAAGCACCAAAGTTTTAAGGAAGATGTTGGTGTGAATTACTCGGCATCCAAGCTAACTTTTCCTACTGCAGGGCTGTGAAGCTGCAGTGATGCTGATTTAACTGCGATAGCGCTTTGTGTTAAGTTTTTGGTGCGTTTAGGGACCATACTGCGCATTATATTTATCCCCCCTGAGGTTCAACCTGGTGTAATAGTCGGTGCTGCTGTCTCACAGCACTGTTAGGTCCTTACTGTCGTTGTATTTGATATAAAGTAACTCATATTTCAAACCCTCTCCCTGTTTGTTTCCCGCAGTGTGTGCGGATAGTGTCAGAGCTGATGGAGTTAATGATGACTCCGTACTCTGGATGTGCTCTGAACATAATGCCCCACATGAAGACATGTGCAATGAGTTAATGTTATAAGTGCTATCTGTGCTGCGCGCCTGTAATTATTGCCCAGCAGCTATCCTGCATTCGTCATCCATTAACAGGAGATGGAGGAGTGAGTCATATCACTCTGCTGAGGGAGATGTGAGAATAGAGGCCAGCGATAGTGCCTCAGCTCTGTTATTGTGCTTTAAAGGGAACTTCCCCCCCCTAACTTTATACTATTACACACAGGAGGGAGGGGTTCAGGCTTACTCTAACACAGCACTGTCACCAACAATAGGTCGGAGCTTCTGTAAGACGGTAATCTCTACCGCTGGCTTTTTCTTTCTATCTTGTTTGGGAGGCTTTATGTCAGGCACTCCGCGGACAGACCATGGCACACTCTGAAGGGTCACATTTCCAAGTCCTTTACGCACAATCTCCAGGCTGATTGTAGTGGAAAGTAATGCCCACAGGAGGCCAGTGAGTGTGGCTTATATAACTGTATGTGTTCCATAAGGACTGTGTGTTTCCACTGTGTCCTTACGCTCGCCGTGGCTCTGTTCAAAGAGCTGCGTGTTGCTTAAATAAAGAAGATGGTGGCCTTGTTGCAGCATCAGAACGAGTACCAGTCGTGCTGCTGCGTAGAAACATCATTATATAATGAAGCCCTGCACGCAGTATTAGGGCTGTCAGGAGATGTCGACACAGTGGAGTACTGGGATATTGTATGGATTCTCTGCAGCGGTTTCATAGCGGGATGTTGGATGGTACAGGGACTGTGCAAATGCAGAGCCCACTGTCCTGGTTGCATAAGAAAGTCAGCTGTGTTTCAGTCATGGTGGCGTGTTCTTTATGCTAAGACAGCTTTCCTACAATTATATATATTTTAATTACAATATATTGCCTTGTCTTAATAACTCTAAAATACATTATTCTGAACTCTTTAGAGGTAAGATTTGTATGCTTGTGTAAAGTTGCACTTTTCAGGGTTAGGGTCTATCAGAAAGTGTGGAAACCCTGCTGCAGTATGGCAACATATGAAGCGTGACCCTTGTGTGGTGATGCGTGTCATATTACACTGAATAGTACAGTGTTATGTTGTAACTTTGTGACCCCTGCTTTATGTTTCCACTTTCAATCTTGGTGTTTTCCAGTGACCCACAAAGTGACCCAGGCGCTGTCGCTTTAAAGCGAACACTTCCCCTCCCCCCAATATTGGAGCCCCCCCGCCCCCCCCCTCCCCCCAATCGCCTAGATAACATGGACGGATTCTATGACCAGCAAGTCCCATTTATGGTCCCACCCAGTGTAAGTGGACACATGCAGCCTCACACATCACATTCTCACACTTTGAACCCATGGCTCACCATAGATCACTGTACATTTCTAGTGCACTTCCATACCATCATCCATTGGTGGGGGAAAGTGACATCTTCTGTCAATGTTCTGACCTTTCTTCATCTTTTCTCAACAGCACAAGTCCCATGTGGAGGAGCCCTCTCACAGCAGGCCCCTGAACGACAGGAAGAGGAAGTTTGTTGACACAGAGCTCGCCCAGGACACCGAAGGTAACGTTGCTGATGTGAATGCATACGATCCCTGTAAGCACTATGTTTTAACATGTAATTAGATTGAGGGGAACATGCATTTAATATCTTTGATTACTTGATTTTCAGAACTCTTCCAAGACCTCAGTCAGCTGCAGGAGATCTGGATAGCAGAAGGTGAGTTCTGGATTCATTTCAGAATAGTTTCCTTTAACTTCACTCCACTACAACCAGCCCCCAGAGAGCTTTGTAATGTTTCTAAATGGTCAACAGGATGAAATTGGGAAACTTTTAAGATTAAAGATTAACATGGCGAGAATGTGAAATTTAGCTATTTTTGTGCTAGCTACTAGAGCAAGAAGAGCAAAGTTCTACGCACGAGAAACAGCTGTCCAAAACCCATTTAGTCTTCCCTCAATGTAGCCATTTCATTCTTACTTTCTCCTTTTTTAGTTGTTAACATTAGATTGTTTTCCCGTTTCTGCCTTTTTGTCCACATTTTTGGACACATAAAGGTGTCGGTGTTAGGCTGTTGGCTATAGAGAGGTTATGTGTGTGTGTGTGATTTTTCTCACACGTGCGATATTCTTCTGTATCTTCACAGCCCAGGTGCCCGATGACGAACAGTTTGTCCCAGATTTCCAGTCGGATAGCTGTGAGTACCTGATTTCTATTGTTTGTCTCTGGTAATCACGAGTCTGTGTGTCTTCTGAACAGAATCAGTGACTGCTTTTTTGAAAACCGGCTCATCATTAAGATCTTTTGGTCCAGCCTGGTTCTCACATTTAAGCAGTGGCAGTTCAGTCTGATAACTGAGCTCTATTTTAGCAGCGTGACATTTTCAAACTGCATTAATTCATTTTTTCTCTGAGAGAACACGTATTCTTTTTGAATCACTGTCCTTGACCACATGTCCAGGCCACCCCTCTTTTATCAAAATGTCTTCATCCTGCTCAGGACAAACACCATTCTTCGTCTCCAAAGCACAGCTCTGGGAAAGGCTGCTCTCTCTCTCCCCCCTCCTTCCCTCCATTTTGAGTTTAATCAGCCGATTGGCATGGGGCATCACATGAGCCAAGCTCCTAATCTGATTTCACACTTTCCCGCACTCAGACCCTGCTGCTGAAGTGGGCTAGATTCCAGTGGATAGGGCTGCTTCACAGCTCCCCGTTACAGTTCTGCTCCCCAGAACTCGCATCCCCGCAAACGGTCTGCCCCATCTTCCCTCAAACTGCTCCACACAGCCGTCCCTACTGTCTCTGCACGCTGCCTTAAGGCTGCAGCTGAGGGGTGTATTTGAATTATGTCCAATGGAGCATTTTATGACCCTCCCCTCCTCCCCTCTGTCTTTGTGAGTTTATGTTTTCGTCTGATGCGTAGGAGGTGGAGACAGGGTGTGGTGGCTGCCTGTCTTTGTCAGGGTTGCCTTTTAAATCTTGGTTAATGTGGCACAGCGAGCTGCAAACTGACCACTTGCCCGTAGAGCTGTAACGTGTTATTGGGGTTAAGGCACTGACATGTATGTTTATAGAGGGCCCTGTCCGAGGTTGTGTACGTGTTGGTTTATTCTGTATGTCGGGCATTGTGGGGTAGTCCTCGACCTTGCAAGTTAGTTCGCCGTGTGTGTGTGTGTGTGTGTGTGTGTGTGTGTGTGTGTGCGCGGGATACAGAGATGTGAGTTTGGCTGTTGCTTCTGTTGCTAGGCTGCAGGCCGTTCTCTCTCACAAGTTGCCTATTCAACAAAACCCGATTTTCCGATATGAGTTACAGTCTGAGGACATCACATGGGGTGGACCAGGGCTGACCCAGGACCCAGCTCACAAATCCCACAAATGGGGAAATTCAGTCCTTTGTGGCTGTGGCTGTGGTCAAAACAAAACATTTGAGAATGTCACCTTGGGCTTTGGGAAACACTGAGCAACATTTTTCAAATTGTTTTGGAAGCAAACATCTAATGGATTAATGGAGAAAGTGATGGACAGATTAATCAGCAATGAAAATATCAAACCAATCGTTAGTTGCGGCCATGAAGAGGATTTTCCACAACAGGTGCTTGTTTGCCCACCAGTCCAGAGTAAGAAAAGATGCCTCATCTCCCCATTATTTACTCTTCTGTGTGTGTTAGGACTCTCACTCCAGTCATTAGGTTTCACAGGGGAGCTCACGTGCCCGTTGTTAGCTCTGCTTAGGTCCATCAGCACCACTGGTGATTTATTTGGCTCCCGCTCCTCTGTACCCAGGGATCTAGTTTCTGCCTGGCTATTATGTGGCGCCCCGGAAACTGCACCCGATATGCAGCTTGTGTCTAATGGTTACAGCACGGGAGAAGAAAATCATTCACCGCCATTAGATTACAGCCATACTGATTCATGGGTATTGGTATTGGCCCGGCCTAATGGGAATCAGACGAGAAGTTTGATAGCTTTTGTGTGCATAGTGCAGTTAGTATCATGCTACCTAGCAGTGGTGGATAGATGGTCATTTCAGAGCCCGGAGTCGAGCATCATTAGGGCCGATGATAAATTGCTGCTAAGTGGCTCTGTCAGTCGGGGGAATACAACAGACATTGTCCATACATCCATTTATCCATCAGTTCCAAATGTGGTTAAGATAACTGCTGCACTTCTGTTTATGGCTTCAATTAGGTCATATCTGGAGTTTATCTAATGCACTCAATTGTGTTTCTACTCCGTGTGTCTCCTCCTATCTAGTGATGTTTCATGGCCCGCCACCAGCCAAGATCAAGCGAGAGCTGACTCCCCACAAAGAGCTGTCTCCCTGCCGCCAGGACAGGAGTCCCATGCCCTACGGAGAGAAGTGCCTTTACAGCTACAGGTACGTAGTGGCTCATTCCATTGGTAGTCTACCAAGAGCATGGCAGCAGACACTGAACAGCGTGTTCATTACCCCTCTGAGAGTTTTTCTCACTGTGTGTGTGTGTGTGTGTGTGTGTGTGTGTGTGTGCTGTCTCTTCATCTTCAGTGCCTGTGACAGGAAGCCCACTCCTGGGTTCAAGCCATTAACTCCCCCCTCAACACCAGTCTCTCCTTGCGGCCCCACCAGCACAGCAGGAACGCACCCGTTGAGTGAGCAGACCCCCCCTCCTCACCCCCATGTAGCCAACCCGACCCCAGTGCAGCGTCCAGTGCACCTACAGCAGGCGCTAACGGTGAGCGCAGGGTCTCCCAACCAGCAGGTGCTCCAAGGCCACAGCCACAGCCCACCCTTCGCCGTGCCCTGCGCACCCATCAGCCAGGATGCCAACACCTTCTCACCCGAGCACAGGTGAGCTGAACCTCTGTATCTGCTGTCTTTGCAAGCAGTGTTTGTAAAAAGAGACTGAACACATTATCTTGCCACTTTCCCCTCCATCTTTAGGTTCCAGAGGCAGATGTCAGAGCCATGCCTACCTTTCCCCCCATCAGAGAGTCAAGGGCGCCCCCAGTTCCTGCCTCAGCCTGCCAATAACAACAGCGCTCTGCCACGGGACAGCCGGCCACCGTACCATCGGCAGATGTCAGAGCCATTGGTAGCCGTGCCTCCCCAGGGTTTTAAGCAAGAGCTCATCGACCCACGATACACGGAGCAGGGCGTCCCCACCATGGGCCCCCCAGGTCCACCCCAGGGCCCTCCGCGTCAGGCCGCTTTCCACCCCATGGCCATCAAGCAGGAGCCTCGTGATTTTTGCTTCGATTCTGGTGAGTGGCACGGTTTAGAGAAGGGAAGAGTGACCTCTCAAGCTAGCTGTGTGATGGTAATTGGCTAGTGCTGTGTGCAAGTAGAGCAGACAGAGGGTGAGGAATGTGCCTGTTTGTTCTGGGCACTAACACATGCCTGTGAGTTTTAGCATGCAGCAGAGGCCTGGGCGCACAGGTGCTCAACTCACACAAACACTCTCTCAAAGCGCGCGTTAGTGCCTCGAAGACTAATCTGCATCATTCCTCCAGAGTCAGAGCAGTAAAGTAAAAGTGGGTCTTTTAGCTCAGCCTAAGCCTCCAAGGGCAAAAAGTAAATGGGCCATCCAGCCAGGTGCAGAGAACGTCTTCACTGAGCCTACCTGGAATAGATCTAGGCCAGCGCCCTCTGAGGACTCAGTGACCTGCAGCGCAGCAAGTTGATTGTAAGAACCTGCTAATTCTCAACGTGGTTTCACGGAATACACGAGGGGCCAAATGGTGCCAGTCCTCTCTGAAAAGCCTTGTCAAACAGTTGCGGCAGAGATGCTGTTTGCTCACATGGTGTAAATCAAACAAGCAAGCGCGGCTGTCGGAGCATTGGTTTGATCCTAACGCCCACACGCCCAGCTGTTGTCCCCGCTCTGATGCATTAGCATCCTCTTTTCCTGAAATGTAACTTTTTTAAAAATCTTTTCCACTTGCTCTCATATACTCTCCATTCTCCTGGCGGCTGACCGGCTGGCCGAGCAGTGATGTAATGACAAATCCTCTTAGCTTCTTATGGCCTTTAAATACCTACGTCACAGAGGTCTGCTATCTCTAGATGGATGGAACAAGTGCGTGTTCAGCATACTGACATAGAACATATTGTGACCACAGCGTTGGTGCGACAGTGACGCAACCGTTTCTGTGCATATAAGGCCACAGTTTAAATCCATGCATTATCTGCATTGGACACACACAGTTTCCAGAGTCATTCCTTCTCTTCTGTTTCTCCACATTAATGGTACTTCCTGTAGACAGACTTAAGCAAACACTTGCTCAAGATTGATCTCTGGTTGTCTTATCAGTAGACAGGAAGCAAAATAATGGGTGGGGGTGGAGATGCACTGCAGAGGCACTGCGAACACAAGACACGCTTTGACCCCTCGGGGGGAGGACTGGCGTAACTTGATTGTCATTGAGATTTAAAACAGCAACCATGGTGCTAATCTTATTTACAGGCTTGGTGGACATGCAAGGGATGTGCAGTGAACTCTGATCTGGGCTTTAGTCCACTTTTAGGTCTCTGTGTGTGTGTGTGTGTGTGTGTGTGTGAGCCCAGCTGTTGGAGCTGCACGCCATGTGTTTTGCCTTTTCATACCCGTACTATATAATATTGATCAATGTGACCTAGCACACTAATATAGTTCAGACTGAGTGTCTCCTCTATAAACATAGAACAAACCATATAAACTGTAGATGAGTATCAAAGCCATGTATCCATGTGCACAGTGGCAGTGATCCAAATATATCTGTCAGCTGTGAGGTGGATTTTGATGTATTACACATTTGATATGACAGTGAGGATGTCTCTGGTCTAAATTTATGCACCCATCTTCTTTGTTGACAGAAGTGCCTAACTGTCAGTCATCGTTTGGGAGAGCGGGGAGCTTCTACCAAAATAACCATGAAAGTAAGTTCAGATTATTGTCTGCTTTTGTCTCTGTGTCTCAGATGTTTGCATTATTTCATTAGTGGAGCCCATTCTTTGTGACCATGAGCCTTATCGAGCTGCTGAAAGCTCAGCGCTGGTGATAGCCGGGGCAAAAGAATAGGTCAGCAGCGTTGAAATGACAGCTCAAGGGGGAAGCGAATCTTTCAATGAATCCTGTGTAGCTGCTCCACGCGCAGTGCGTTTCTCACACGGGCAGCTGGCAGAGGCTCGGCGCAGTGCGAGCTTCCACTCTTGGGAGGCTGCCCAGCTATATTGCTTTGCTTGCAGTTTGGATCTCAGGGTTGAACGCGGTCGCCGGCCTTCATGTCAGAACAAAAGCCCGTTTCCCACGCTCGGTCTGCTCTTGTGCTTTCAACCCGTTAATGTTTCTTTCTTTTTTCAATTTCAGGCTTCTCCTTTGACAGAGATCATCAGCTGTACTTTGACGATACCTGTGTGGTCCCTGAGAGACTAGAAGGTGAGCCTGAAAAAATGCTAAAAAAACGTTCACTGTAAACACAAGGTTAGCGTAAAAGTACTGGATATGCCCACAAAGTGTGGGCATTTTCTGGGACAGAGTCCAGTCCTTCGACTGCTCGGGGTGCACGATGAACAGCAAGTCCACTTCACAGTGACCATCTGGCAGGAATGTCTCACCACACTGTGGCCGTGGCAGAGTACAGTGCTGACTGACACTTCTTCTTTTTCTTCACTCCTTCCCCTTCTGCCTCTTCTTTTATTTCTGCCGCTGTTCTTCCACTCGCAGGTAAAGTGAAACAGGAGCCCTCTGTCTATCGTGACGGCCCCCCCTACCAGCGCCGTGGCTCCCTGCAGCTCTGGCAGTTCCTCGTCACGTTACTGGACGACCCAGCCAATGGCCACTTCATAGCCTGGACTGGTCGCGGCATGGAGTTCAAACTCATTGAGCCTGAGGAGGTCAGTCCCCACTGTCCACCACCAGATTTCTGTCTTCTGTCCAATTACTCATCAGGGTGTCCACAGGGTCTTAATAAGTCCAATCCTCTGTATTTGAGGCCTTAAAGATTGTTTGACAGGCCTTTCAAATGGATGTTACTTGTATTTGGGGAAAAAATGATCATGCTACAAAATGAAACCAACATGGAACCAATTTCCTTCATATCCTTTGTACTTTTTTGCCACTGTGGATGTAAAATAGGTCTTAAATTACATTCAAAGTGGTCTATAAAAGGGAATTTAATTGAACCTGTTGAAACCGGCAAAACCCTTGACTCATACTACTTAAAGTTTATAATCTATGGATTCACGTTGACCTACACTACATATTCATTCTCTAAAGCTAATTAGGGTAAGAAAATATCGATACATTTGAGTCCCATGAGTTTGTTTTGCAATATTGTATTAATTCTCAAAAACACTGTATGTAGTATTGTTCTAAATAACACATTCTGTATAGAAAAGGTCAAGTTTTTTGTTTTACTCAGTATAAAGAACACACAATCATATACAAAGTCTGACATTTCCTGAAATGTGCTTTATTTTAAATTGAAATACATTGTCTTGCTTAAAGTATTTCAATATATTGTAACCCATTGTGATACAAATCGTATCGCCAGATTCTCGCCAATACACAGCCATAAGCTGACAGCAGTTCTTTGTCCTGTGTGTCTCAGGTGGCTCGCCGCTGGGGCATCCAGAAGAACAGACCGGCCATGAACTATGACAAGCTGAGCCGCTCGCTGCGTTACTACTATGAGAAGGGCATCATGCAGAAGGTAAAGGCACGTTCGCCCTTTTGTTTCTCTCCCTCCACCCTGTAGAACTGTATTACAGCCAGCAGCTAAATAGTTGAAGTAAATACTAGCCTGCTGGCCACATTTCTTCTATTCCTAAATATGTTAATATGTTTATGTTTAGTGTTGTCTGTCTCAGCCACATCATTTTACAAAAGTCTTAAATTTGATCAGAAAAAATAAAGTATGGGTGGATCAGTCAGGTACTGGAGTCACATGACTATATGGTTAAAGGTCCGGTGTGTAGGATTCAGTGGCAACTAGCGCTAAAGCTGCAGATTGCAACCAACTAGATATCGCTCACCTTCCAAACTACAGTGGCTGAAAACTGTAGATAAAAACTGAAAATTCTAAGGCAACAAAAACGCACTTACGATTCCTATATTCAGCTGATCATACACTAATGTAAACATACCTACGAATATTATTTTTATATTTTTTTATATTTTATTTATATTCAATTTCTGACAATGGATCCTCCTAAATGAGGTTACACACTGGTGTAGAGAGTTTTGTAAAGGGAAATATGACATGTACACTATGATGATATGTATGCACTCAAAACTAAAAAGTATTATTCAGGAGGTTTCGTATGTGAGTCAAATATGTCTGTCGGTCTTGTTGCTCAGGTGGCTGGTGAGAGGTACGTGTACAAGTGTTGTGTGCGACCCCGAGGCTCTCTTCTCCATGCCTTCCTGACAAACCAGAGGCCCAACCTGAAGCCGACCCGGACAGCCTGCCAGGCTGGACGACGACACCGTGCCCCTACCCACACGACGAGACCGCCCCCGTACATGCTTGGACGCCGGGGAAGCAGTGCGTGGCAGGCTTGCCCTTCCCGACGGCTACAGCTACTAGCGAGACGCAGACTCCTGAATGCACAACAACCACATTGTTACACGCAAACACTCCAAAGTCTCTCGACACCCACTCTTAAAATCCAGAGCTGGAACTGCAGAGGTGCTTGAAGGGGAAAAACCCCTTGCGCTCCGCTTTCTTCACGGTTCCCCCCTCTCCTGCTCCCTGGAAAACCTTCATAAAACTCTGCAAAGCTCCCAAGCTTAAGAAACGAATGAGGGAAAAACCTGCGACAGCTCCATCCACAAGAAAGAGGAGAGAGGAGAGGAGAGAGAGAGAGAAGGAGAGGGTTGTAAAACCGCTGAGGGTGAACTGGATCGGCCGCTCTGCCCACCTTACAAGTTCCTAAAGTAAGGCAGGGGCTGCTTTTGCTACGGAGA